CCCCCTTCCCTCTCCTTTCTCAACACTTCATTCGCCACCCATCATTCAACCACCACACTCCCTTTGTTGCCAAAGTTAGCAATACCGATACCTCATTTGCTAAATTCGCATTGGCTGAGATGCTGCCACCGCTGACTGTTGAGCTCTCTAAGGTTGCTATAACTACTAAAAACTGCAGAAACTTGAACTTCATCAAATTTGATACAACATTTTCATTAAATAATTTAAATCTGATATGTTTATATTTTGTGGTTTTATCATTTGTATACGTCACGACCAATCATTTGAGATGTATTCCAAATGACTATTTTTTGCGAAATAATAATAAATTATTATACGTTTGTTGATAGAAAGTATTGCAGCAATAATTATGCAAGCACCTGGTTTTCTTTTAATCTTCTGGTCTTATTTATGCACACTTAGATATCTTTTTAAAATCATTTTCTGTAGGTAATTAGTTTGGAGGGTTTTTTTCTGGACTCAATCCACCCAGTTCGAGAGACTGAAGGAAAAAATAAAAGACAGTTTGGGAGTGCACAGTCTTGCAAACACAACAGTGGTCTCCGGGAGATCAGTTCAGAGCCGCTATCGTTATGAGGTCGAGAGTGTTGGCGACTATTGGGGCTGTCGGTTGATAAAGGAGAGTAACGTATCAAAACTTCTAAATACAAACAAGTCTCGTTTCCTTAAAATCGCACAGCACTAAAGTGAAAGCCGGACCTGTTAGCGGTGAAATAAAAATTGGACGCACGTAGCTTGGACCTGGCATTTGGTTTTGTGGAATGAATTCCAAACCAAAGAATTCTAGGGTAAAGAACACCGAGACATGGTTATCCAGTAAGTGAGGAACACTTAGGACAAGAAGAAGATATCAGAAAGTCGTCCAGCAAACCGCTGTAAGGACAACGGATAAACTGAACTAATGGCTTACGAAGATCTCTTGTTTAGAATTATCTGTGGCACATGACACCACTAAGACACACCTTCATCATCATTTGCCTCTTTCACCCTGGTATTGGGTACAGGCTTTCAAGAAGGAATATCGCTACTTCAGAATTACAAAATTCTATCTGCTCAGTATTTAGTTTTGAGAAACCTGACGTCAAAATGTCTGAGTTTAACAACATGTCAAGCTTTTTCTAATGCAATTTTTCAAATATTTTGATAAGGACTCTGAATAATCTTACGATTTTGATAGAGCAGATAACGCATTTGATTTCTGACCTCATAGTTATAGTAACTCAAAAGGGCCAAAAATGTCAGACAGAATTTTGTTATTTTGAGGTAGAGATACTGACTCGCTGTCATCGAAGTTTAATCTCATGAAGTAGGGCAAGGAAAAAAGATACTCGCTGCCAAGAGTGCCTGCAGCCACAGAAAACATACC